GTCCTGCCATCTAATAGAATCCACACTGGATTTAAAGCCTGGAAAATCTTCAGCTTCCAAGAATTTTCCCTCTCCCTTTCTTATTTCTTTCCTCCTTGGTGAGAAACTCTAAATACGCACGAACTTCAAAAGCTGCTCCAAACATGGACAAACACAGAGCATTTACTAAAGCTCCCCCAGCTTCCTTCATCTTGGTTTGAAAGGGAACATCTCAATGTTGAGGATTTGGGAATGGCAAAGTAAACACGCAGCTTCCTTCAGGATTTACCCAGAAAGCAGACGCAGCACGAGTCAAACCCCATGTGCGTAAATGCTGATGTTAAAGGATGGTTAAAAGACAGCACAAGGAAGAGGTTGTTAACCCCCACTGCATCAAAAAGGATGTGCTTCCATCACTATCCCCGTCACATACATCCCTGAAACCCAGAATCCTGCCCTGCTTCAACATCAACCCCTTGATTCTTCACCAAAGCACATATTTACTTGCTGCTCTGTGGGTACAATGTTGATCCAAGCCAAAGAGGGACACATCTGGAGGTTAAAAAGGCTATTTAAGGTTATTGTACTCCAGCATTCCAGGCAGTAACTCTGCAATTGCTGACTTTAAGGCAGCTAAAATCTTGCTTTAAAGATCTTTTCTTAAAGGTACTGAGTGAATCAGTGAGCTAAGAAAGTTCAAGGGAATAATGGAGTATGGAGACATGAGAAAGCTCAACGTTGGAGCTGAAAACCACACTGGGAGTCATGTGCACAGCAGCAAACTACAGTCAACAGTCTCTGCTACTAAAGCAGTGCTGCTGCCGAGTAGGAATTGAAGGCAGGGGCACTAAAAGCCCATCCCCAGCTCCCAGCAAGGCCGAGTTTGTGAGACAAGAACCAGCCCCATCACTGACACAGCAGAATTTGTTTCCTCATCAGCACTGCCACCTTGTGAAATGCTCCTGCTAACTCAGCTGCTTTGTCAGGCAGTTAACACTCAAGATACACTTGTAGTGCAGCCAGCAGGAAGCACACAGCCTCCTGAAGGATACCCACACACTCCAAGCCAACAGAATCAGTGTCATTTGTGATGGAGTCACTCCAGTTGGAGGGTGAGGATTGACGGTGAGCTCACAGCTATACAGTAACCAAAGCAAAATCCGCAGGAAGTGTCCCCAAATCCTGTTCTTCAGGATCAAACCTTTAGGGTGAAAGATGCTGTAAAATCCTTTGTCTTCCTCAACAATAAACATGATCAGAAACACCCCCAAGCGTGCTACATGAGCAGTAGAAGTGTGCAGGTGACTGGCACACAGTGATGGCTCCAGCCCCCTGCTACAGGCAGCTCTGGAATCTGCTAAAGTGTTCCAAGGAAAACCTGTTTCACAACCCTCTGTTTAGAGGGACCACGACAGACAAATCAGTAGTTCAAAGTGTAACCATGCCACTTCATTTGAACAGCAAAGTCATCAAGAGCTGGCAACTCCGGTGTAAGAAAGCCCCTTGCAGTGCCTTTGGAAAAGGAATGAGGAGGGAACATTGAGTTGGACGAAGTGTGGATTCATCCACCCCACATTTAACCAGGATAAACCCTTGAAAATTAGATTCTTTATTTCCATTTTCCAAGTTGCAGTTCGAATATCAGCTTCAAAAAGAAATGGATGAAGTAAGGTCAAATTAACTCATGGCGTAAGTGAAGAGCAGCCCTAGTCCACTACAGCTCCACAGGTGAAGCTCCAGGAAACATCTTTACTCGAGTTAAATATTGCACCCCTTCTCTAAGCCAAGGAGTAAAATACTTCACCTTCAGACAGCATCTAAGAGGTTACTGCAAGTACAGGCATACACTAGAAAAAAACACAGCATTTCCTATTTCCAATGAGAGCAGTAGAGGAAAAGAGGAAGGTAAAAAGTATTTACAAAGGTATCTACACAACAGGCCTAACAGTGCTTGTACGACGCTCCAATGCACTGGAACTGCTACCACCACCACTTCCTTCTCCAGGCTGTCCCCTCACCCTTCAGTCCTGCTCCAGTTAAGAACCTTCTTGTTGGTCTTCGATCTTTGGAGCCAGGTAGTATTTTAAGTGTCCCATATCGGCAATCTTGTACTCCACAACTGGGAAAGAAGAAGAAAAAACAGCGTTTTCCTCACAAAAGCCATTGTCAGTAGTTCTTAAAGCTCTTCTGGTGACAGCATTCTACAGTGCCCAAGCAGAGCTGCTTCTACTTACCAAGAGGAACATCTGCAGACATGCTGAGCGTGACTGTAGGGGACAGGGGGGTGGCTTTGGTGAAGAAGTTCAGGTACCTCAGCGCAAAGGTCAGCTGCACTGGCTCATTCATCTCTATGGTCACCTAGAAAAGCAGGTCAGGCTCCAGCTACTGCTGCCAGGACCATGTTCCCTCAAGCCTCTCAACTCAGGCATCTTGAGGTGGTCAGTGCTATCCCCACCCTGCTGAGCCCTGCTTGAGTATCCCAGGACCTCAAGTTGGCATCAGTCTCTGGGCTCTAATCCATAAACTAGAGAAATAACCATGTGATCCCCCCAGCTTTAGCCCCAGAGGGATGAGGGAACCAGTTTTATTAGCAGAAATCTCAACACTGAGGAACTGTGAGCACCAAACTTACAGCCTCTTCCTCTTTATCCACATTGCTGGTCTGGGACAGTTTGATGTTCCCATTGCCCAGCTCCCCGTTAGCTGAGAACTTCACCCCATCTTTCGCACAGGAGATGACAACGGCATCACCGATGTGGCTGAGGTCCCTACAGATGCGGGCGAACTCAGCAGAAGGCATTTTCACTACACAGCTGTATTCCTGTTCCTGCAAAGGAGGAGTCACAGTTAAACTGCTACCAAGGAGCCTGGTGTTGTCACTAGCCTTGGGTTTGGCCTTGCCAAAGCTCAAGTGCTGGCATGAACATGGGAAAACACCCATGTCTAAGACACAGAATCAGTCATTAGAGCTGCTACTCACTGGAATTCCAAGCTGCTCCACATCAAGGTCCATCAGCTTCATCTCATAATCAGAAACCTTCTCCTGATCTAAAAAGATAAAGCATATTTTGACCAAGTGTATCTGAGCAGTTATCACCCTGAGCGTGTTGCCCCTTCACCTCCCTCCCCTGGCAGATAAAACCAGACCAACTATAACCGTAAGATCTACCTTGCTTCATTAGCTAAAAATCAGAAAGTGACCAAACAGCCTTTTGTAAGGGGACAGGAACCCACCAAAGGCATCTGCATGTGACCTAAAGAAGTCTTTCTCTTTTAAAGAAAGTACTGGTCACAGGAGGCTTCCAGTGTCTGAAGGGGACTACAAGGATGCTGGAGAGGGGCTCTTCATCAGGGACTGTAGGGATAGGACAAGGGGTGATGGGTTCAAACTGAAACAGGGGAAGTTCAGGTTGGAGATAAGGCAGAAGCTCTTCCCTGTGAGGGTGCTGAGGCGCTGGCACAGGGTGCCCAGAGAAGCTGGGTGCTGGCACAGGGTGCCCATCCCTGGCAGTGTTCAAGGCCAGGTTGGACACAGGGGCTTGGAGCAAGCTGCTCTAGGGGAAGGGGTCCCTGCCCGTGGCAGGGGGCTGAAACTGGATGAGCTTTAAGCTCCTTCCCAACCCAAGCCAGTCTGGGATAAGAAGCCTTCAATAACGAGACGATAAATTGAAGAAGGAGCTCTGGGCTTGCCTATGATGCTGGACAGGCAAATTTGCCCAAGAAAGCCCTTCAATTTAATAACTCCACGTTGGTAACAAAAGCCAGTAAAAGCTACTGCATCTCATTGTGTTCAAATGGACTTAAAGCTTCCCCTGTAAAAGAAATGGAAAAATAAAGGCAGATTCCAAGGTAACTGGAGGGATAGACTGATTCGCTCTTACTAAGGGGTGACCCCTCCCACTCCTTAAGTCTTCCTTGTCATTCCCCCCCCACACACACTTCAACCTGCGTGCTTTATTAAGACTACCTAGACACCACGGCAGCAGGCAAACTCTCAAACCTAACACTCACTCGGTGCTTCAAACACCAGTGCCAACGTATCCGCATTGTCTTCTGCTCGCAGAGTGATGATGTCTTCATTCCCAGCACATTTCAGTATCTTGGACATGCTGTAGGGGCAGGGAAGGGAGGTTACTCCGGGACTACACGCAGGAACACCCCATCACAGCATAGGGACAACGCTGGGGGGGGGCTACAGAGGGTCATGGCGCCGTATCGGCAGCACTCAGCTTTTCCCGCCACAGCCTCGGCGCGGCAAAGTGACGTCAGCGCCGCCAACAGGGCCCGCGCGCGCGCCCCGTGAAAAAAGGCGCGAGATCCGTGAAGAGACCAGGAGATGGGGAGGGGGGGGAAGGACGCGAAAGGCCCCGAATGGGCTCGGAACAGCCCCGGAACGGCCCCAACCCTGGGTCCAGCGAGGGCTAAAGCGGCCTCGCCTCACACCTCCACCCCGCGGCCCCCGCTCCGCTCCGCGCCTCAGGTACGGGCCCGCCCCGTCGCGGCCTGCCCGCCGCCCGCCGCACCTGGACAGGTTGACCCCCATGGCGATGTTGCGGTCGCAGCGGTAGGTGTCGAAGCCCTCGGAGCGCAGCGTGAGCTGCACCAGGGAGACGTGCGAGGAGTCCATGCTCTGCAGGCTGATGCCGCCCGAGCCCAGGTCCCAGCAGGCCTCGGTGATGAGGTCCTTGAGGGCCTCCAGCACCCGCTTGAGCACCGAGCCCTGCACCAGCCGCGCCTCGAACATCTTCCCCCGGCAGCACCGGCACCAAACCACCGCGGCCCGCCAACCGGCCCCCCCTTTTATACCTTCCGCCCCGCCCACCACCACCACAGCAACCAACCGCCAGTGGCCTTTCATTCAGCATCCGCGCTCACATAACAGGTCCCCTCACTCTTTACCCAATCCCAGAGCCGCTCCTTTCCTTAATCCCGCCTTTCTTCCGGCAGGAACCAATCACCACGCGGGTTACACACACCACACCTCGGCGCCGGTAACAGCTCCGCTGCTTCTCCAGCCCCCTTGGTAGTTGCGAGGGACGCACCGGAGCGGAGCGGGGCCGGGCCAGGCTGGGCCGGGGTGAGGATGAGCGGGGACGGGATGAGCGACCTGCGGCAGCGGCACGGCCGGGAGCCCGGAGCGGCGCGGGACAGTGAGGACAAGGTGGGCTGCAGGCACCGGCGGGGAGGCCTGCGGCGGGCGGGCGGGCTGTGAGGCCTGCGGAGTGTGAGGGGACCCGTCGCTTACTGCGCTTACCGGACCCTGAACCGCGATAGCCGCACAGCCGACCTCCGGAGAGCCTGAGAGGGGTGTCTGTCCGCGGCTGGGCACCCGGCCCCGCATCCCGCCTTTGGGAGCGTGGGGTCTGGGTGTAAACTGCGCTTCATGGGTACAGGGAAGGGTACCAGAGCTCGTGCAGGGCCTGGAGCACGAGGGTGATGGGGAATGGCTGAGGGACCTGGGGGGTTCAGTGTGGAGAAGAGAAGGCTCAGGGGGGACCTGATGGCTCCCTACAACTGCCTGACAGGAGGATGGAGCCAGGAGGTTCTGGGCTCTGCTCCCAAGGAGCAAGGGATGGGACAAGAGGAAACGGCCTCAAGCTACCCCAGGGCAGGTTTAGATGGAGCTGAGGAACAATTCCTTGCCCAGAGGGTGCTCAGGCATTGGAACAGGCTGCCCAGGGCAGGGCTGCAGTCACCGTCCCTGCAAGTGTGCACACACCGTGGAGACAAGGCGTCAGTGCCATGGGTTAGTGGTGGCCTTGGCAGTGCTGGGAAGCGATTGGACTGGATGAGCTTAAAGCTCTTTTCCAGCCTGGTTGATTCTATGACTTTTTTCTGAGTGGGGGTCACTGAACCCCTTAGGAGAGGCTTTGAGATTGCCCAGCCACCCCCCGTGGGTGCCCTTCCCTACACAGGGATGCACAGGCTCCATCTGGAGCTTCATGAGGTTTTGTGGTTGCATTTCTCCAAAGAAGAGCTGTGAGAATGAAAACCTGCCTCTGTTTTCCTGTAACATCTCCATTCCAAACCCAAGCCCAGCTGGATGCATGGCAGTCCCTATGTGAGCAGTGTTGTTACCCTTACCATCTTCATTGCCACACCTCACTGACCAGGAGAGGACCCTGAGGAATTAACCAGCAAGCAGAACTCTTTAACTGGTACTGGCAGAGTCACAGAGAGCCAAAACTGGTGGGAAAAGTAGTTCTTAGCTGTATTGATGCTTAAGGCATGCACCTGGGGAGCAACGCCTTTAGTCGCATCATATGGATATTTCCTCTGTTAATGTGGGAAGGACGCAGTTCAGAGAAGCATGAAATCCCTAGGCAGAGCTGTCTTTTGCAATGTTATTTCATGTTTAATGGAGCTTTGAATGCCAGGTTAATACCAGCTTGGAGCTGTACACTCAGAAGTGGGGAAGCTTTATGGTTGTCATGTGATTAGAGAGGGAGCTGGGACAGAAAGTGATGACACTGTTGAGAATGGGTCACTTTGGTGTTGATCAGAAGGTTCTGCCTTTTGCCTACCTTATCTGAAGCTGCACAGACCCAGATTTACCATGAAGAGAGCCCTAAGATGGCTCCTGTTTTGTTGTTGTGGCAGGACCTCATAGCAGCCTTCCAGTATCTGAAGGGTGCCTATAGGGATGCTGGGGAGGGACTCTTCATTAGGGGCTGTAGTGACAGGACAAGGGGTGATGGGTTAAAACTTAAACAGGGGAAATTTAGATTGGATATAAGGAAGAAATTCTTTCCTGTTAGGGTGGTGAGGCACTGGAATGGGTTGCCCAGGGAGGTTGTGAATGCTCCATCCCTGGCAGTGCTCAAGGCCAGGTTGGACGAAGCCTTGGGTGAGATGGTTTAGTGTGAGGTGTCCCTGCCATGGCAGGGGTGTTGGAACTGGATGATGTTAAGGTCCTTTCCAACCCTGACTATTCCATGACAAAGCTGTTCTCCTCTAGATAAGAACGTTTGTCTCAGTTGGAGTTCACTTCGCTGCAGAAAACCTTCAGGGACTTCAATATTCCAGAACTTTTGTGGGAGTTGGAAGAGGTCCCTCAGCAGCTTGGGAGGACCGAGGCTGCTGAGCAGGGATGCACATTCCCTTGGCCAAGCTTCCATCTCCCTTCAGCTACTTGGGATGCTCCTGAAGGAGGTCAGAGGGCTGCTATTTTGAGTGCAATCCTGTTACTTCCAGGCAAATGGGCTTTTTGTATATATAGAGCCTTCTGAAGAGCTCCTCTCACAGTACCTTATTAATAACTTGGAAGTGTCTTTACTATAGAGAGGGAATATGAATTCCATCCTGCTCATCCTAAAGCAGCTCAAATGAATTGCAAGGGAAAGAGACAAAGACGTTTCCAAGCACTGAAGAACACCTCTTCAGGTGCTGAACGTGACAGCTGTTAGCAATAGAAGGCAGTTATGGGAGGCAGAGAATTCCCTCAAACTCTTCCATTCGAGCCTGGTGGGAGCTTACCTGGTAACAGTGATCTTCAGTAGGAAAACCCTGCAGCGTTGTGCTTGCAGCTCTCAGCAGCAGCAGGTCACTCTTTATTCCCCCGAGATAATGCTCTTGTGTGTTTAGTGCTTGGGAAGTGCCTGGCAGAGCTTGGGAATAACATCAGTATAAAGCCAGCGCAGCAGAATTCCCTGTGCACATTGCATTGCTTGGTGGTCTTTGCTTGCCCAGTGTGTTGCTTGCAGGTGCTGCTGTCCAGAGGGGGGATTCCTGTTTCTGCTTGGTCATGCAGTTACCCTTGCCAAGGAAAATAGTTGAGCAAAGCATATTGTGGCCTGCAGAAACCCTGGTGGCTGTAGAGCAGAGCTCTGGGTACAATGAAGGAGTTAAAATGAGCTGTAACCATCAAGGCTGGCTTTAAGATGAGGCCCGGAAAGCTGTTTTGTTCTTGTTCCCCGTGCTGGTGTGATAATGGCAAGAGAGAAGCTGGTTTCGCTTTCTGCTCCTCTAACCCTTGCACGAGGCTGCAGCTTTGATGTTTAGCTTATAACTAAAACTGCTGCTTCAGTCGAGACGCTTGTGCCAGAGCACTTTAAAATCGATTTCTGGTCAAACTGTTGTGCAACCCAGTCTTGGTCTCAAAGGAAACGAGGCAACATCTGTTTACTCTGAGCAGTGAACTCCCTCTGATTCCCCCCCTATAGAAAACCAGGCAGACTTGCCCTGAGATGTGCTTGGTACCCGTTTCCTCAGCCCAGAGGACTTAGATGCTGTTAACTGTTGCTGCTTGTCTATGTATATCTGAGATTAGGTGGTCAAAACGAGCTCTAGTTTCTTATTACCTTCTCCCTTGGTCTTTGTGTCACAGAATCATCAGAGACTGGTTTGGATTGGAAGGGACCTTAAAGCTCACCCAGTGCCAACCTCCTGCCATGAGCAGGGACGCGTTCCACTAGACCTCCTTCCTTTGCTTTGTAGGCTCACTCTCTAAAAGCAGAGGTCAGTGTGTGGTGTGCATCCCATTAAGTCATATTTTCTCTTCCAATTTCCAAAGAGAACAGGAAAAGGGCAGAAGAAAATTGCTTCCTGGTGCGTGCAGAGCTCCTGAACGCTTCTGCTGGTTTAATGGGATTTCAGTATCATTTCTCAGTAGTGGTTTGTACTCTGTGTGGCTTGGCAGTGAGGACAGAGGGGTTTTTCCTTCTCCATCCTTCTTTTGCCAGGAGGTTGCCCTAGTAGTTGTCTGGCTCTCAGACAGGAGTGAAGTGTGTAAGGGTGAAATGCTTCCAAGGTTAATAGTTAATCCTTCACTTCCAAAGGATGAGAACCCTTGGTCTTTCCAGCCTGGTTTTGCAGTGGATCGAGGATGTGACTTTTTATCTGGCTTCATTAGCACTGTGTGGTACAAAACAGTGAAAGACTCTGAACTACCAAGCCTCCTGATTCCTTATGCCTCCAGGCATTTTGCAAGACTTCCTCAGTGATCTGAAGTGCTTTAAAGATGCTGAGCTGAGTAAATGCTGGATGTCTGAACGCTGGTGCTGACAGCGGTCCCTCAGGCCTGCTTTGGAGGCTGAAGGGAGATGCAAACAGTTGCCAGGTGGATGCAGCAGCTCTGATGTTGGTGTTCAGGATGTAGAGAAATACCAGTGCAGATGCTCTGAAGGTTTAGGCAATTGCAAGTCCTGTTACTGCCCAGGTCACAGGAGAGCTCCAAGTAGTTGGGAGTTTGTGATAACAAGGTGAGGACCAAACCCAATTAAACCACTGCAGTGATGCCTCTCTCCATCTTCATCCGCAATAAGAGAGGCAGAAGTCCAAGACCTTTTCCAGACCCACCCCAAAGGCCTATTTCTTTTTAATAGGCCTTAATGTTATTTTAGGCTTGATACCAAGCATCGCTTGGCCTTTATTCTGGATAGATGCTAGCAAATTCAGCTCTGATGAGAGAATGCATTTTGGCCTCCCTTGCTGTTTGATGCTCAGCTTTAGAGTGCCTGCCAACAGGAGTGTGTTGTTATCCCTTACTGTTGATTGTGCTAATGAGGAACGGGGCTGATTGCCTTTCTAATGGAGCTCATTACAACCAGCTTGCAAATGCAGTACCTGCAGCAGCTTTTGGCCTGCCATGGAGCTGGTGGAAGAGCTGCAGGCTGCTCACTATTCCCTGTGGATGGTGTCTGATTTGACCGCTCTCCAGGGGGTTGGAAGTGGATGAGCTTTAAGGTCCCTTCCCAAACCACTGTAGGATTCTAGGATAGAGACAGGGACTCTGGATGCTCAGGTTAAACCCCTCAGGCACACATTGCTTTCCCATTACTCAGGTCTTTGAATAGTTCAAAGCTGGCTTTTGTTTCCAATCCTTATTAATGACCAGATGATTTATTTCTGTCTGGTCAGGAGGGCTACACAAGACAAGTGTCTCTTGGCAGTATGTGGAAGTTGCTGTTACCTCCAGCATGTGGCTGACCTGTTTTCTGTAGTGTTCCTGCTGGGTCTTAGTGGATGTGGGAGCTTCTTCCCAAGGTCCCTATTGCTGCAGTGGCATGTCCTTGCTCCTGACCATGTCTTGTTACTGTACATGGTAAGGTCAGTGTAGCACAGGGTGGTGGAGGGAGATGTGGCACATCCACAGCTCCTGATGGATGCTGGTGCTGCCTTCCCCCCCATGTTGGAGGCTGAGGTCAGTGTCAGTGCTCAGAC